TTATTCTTCCAAAGGTTGAACCCCAACTCTAAGGGTCCCAAACCCCGGTCTGATAGAACATCTGGGAGGATGTAAATCATGGTAACTCAACTGAACATGAACCACAGAGACTAGATGCGCACAAGGAGTCTCTTCACTTTGAGAGGTTGCTCCCACACTGCCGCTGGTGAGACTCGATCCTGGTCATTTTTTCAAACTTTCACCTCTATATGACCAGTTAAGCTACCCATGCGGGCCTCATTGTTGTTCTTATTGTGTAGATTTGTGGATGAGATAAATTACGGGATGTACTTCAACCGGTCGATAGGTCCCCAAATTGTTGTATACTGTTAGATATATTAAATATAATATATTTAATATAATGTATATTAAATATAATATAATATATCTATAATATATATTAAATATAATATATCAATATATTATATTTATATATTGAGAGAGAAGAGAGAGGAATGAATAATGTTATTTGAAGGGATGATTAACAAATGAATACAAACCACATATTTATACTAAATGAAAGCTACTAATCAGGAAGCTAATGCTCCATGTACTAATGCTATAATTTAGGCCACTCTTCACATACAATGCATGACCCACACCCATTACTTTCATTATTTCCAACAAATTAACTAATTATTAATTACTTGCTTGGTTTAATAATTATAATAATAATATTATTATAACATATACTAATGCCCACAATAATACTAAGGGTGTGTTTGGTTCACACATGGAATCAAAATCGGAATGAGAATCAAATACTTGTTAGGGTAATAGGTTTTGGTGAAAGTATTTTGCATGTTTGGTAGTAGGGTAGAATTGGAATGATTACTCATGGTGATGTTTGGTTATGTATGGCCCTATAATGGGAATAAATGTTTTAAAAATACAAAAACAAAAATCAAGACAATTAGTCCTAATATAATAACATCCAAAGCACCAATATGAATTTTAAAAAAAAAAAATCAAAAAAAATATCTAAAAGCACTAATCTAAAGTTCCAAACTTAAAAATTAAATTACCAATAAAATAAAATGATACCCATTTTTAATTAATTAGGGAATTAGGTTTTTATTGAATGGGAAATCAAATCTCATATTTGTGTTTTGAAAAATTATCAACCAAACACTAATTATGATTTCGATCCTCATTCTTGATGTAGAAACCATGAACCAAACACACTCTAAATTTATAATGTCACCTTTAATTTATGCATGTGAGAGTCGTATGTTATCGGAATCTTGTACAATGACTAATTTTACGTTAGGTTGACGACTACATTGAAATTAAAACTTATTCTTAGTGACCAGATTGAAATTATTAATAATTTAAAGACCACATTGAAATTAAGCTAAAATCTTTAAAACCCTTTTTTGTTTGTGCCGATGATTAGGAAAACTATACTATCAAAAAGTGTGTAAAATTAAATCTTGTTCTTATGAAAATAGCCTTTAAATTACATAGAAGAGATTAATTACACTAAAAAAATTTATGTGATGGACTAAATCGAAATGTACGTCTTTCTTGATTTTTTTTTTAAATTATTAAAAGAATTTGGGAAATAAATAATTACTATAATTAATTACATACTACATAGTTAGCAAGTAATATAATTCCAAATGTTTACTACTAATCTACTATGATAATAGTAATATATTAGTCGATAATCGCTGCTTTGTCACCATGGGGCCTGGGGTGTGGCTTTGTCTTTCATGCTTTATTGTTTATAATTATTTTCTCTATATTTTAACAAATCAAGAAAATACCAAGTAGATTTAATAGGTCAAAATGTGTCAAAGTGCAAAGATCACGTGGATATATCACAATAATAATAACATATGAGTGGTCTTAAAAGAAAAGATTAATGGAGATGAAGTAATGAAATTCAAACTCAAAAATGTTATCTCCACAACATAAGAACAATGTTATTTTGCCATTAAATGGTAATCGAATGCGTGGAGTATGATTTTCATATTTGAGGTCATAAGTTTTAGTACGTCTTGCCAACATCCTTTTAGTGAAGTCTATCACACATAATTATGATATTTTTAATGCACTTTATCATTCTTACGTGGTTTGCGAGTTATTACATAGGAATATAGTTCACATATAACACATCAATAAGATAATTTTTATTCATTAGCTACGGTGATTGGTCGACCTTACCCAGTGTTAAAAATGAATTTACTTATTAATCAAAGATAAAAAGAATATAATCATTCAAATATTGATATGTAAGAAGGTGAAAAATAAGGGATGAAATTGAAAAGAATATGTATCATTACTCAAAAGATAAAACATATCATTAAATTACAATATAAACTATAATTTATTATGTGTCGTATATATGGTTCGTGGAATACATTGAAAGTTGAATGTCATTTTATGAAGTAGATATATTCCTCTGTTTGGTTCATTTTTTAAGGCAAGTAATAAAATCCACGAAATTAGCTATTCCCTTTGTAATAGGAATAGTCATTTCCAAAATTCCCTTGGTATTAGCTCCTAGTCTATTACAAATAATTCTTTTTTAGTAAAAATAAATAACTATTTTTTTATTATTTCAAAAACACCCTTATAAACCCTTTATATAAATACATATGTTTTCAATTCAAGCATTCTTCAAGCTCTTATAATTAATTTGTTGACTTCCCATCATCATTAAGACACGATAATATAATTTCTATGTTTCTTCTTTGTTTTTGTTTTTTTTTTTAAGTTTCATATATGTGTGTGTATGTATATATAGTTTCTATTTTATTTTTTTCTTACCCCAAAGACTGTCCCCAGGCTCTAAGGGGCCCCCATACTCCGACCCGACAGAGCATGTGGGAGGATGTAAATCACGGTGACTCAATGGGTTAGTAGGCAGGGCCAAATGCCGGTGCGCACAAAGAATCTGCCCACTTTGGACATAATTCTCACACTGTCGCCGTCGAGGTTCGAACCTTGATCTCTTACCCCAAATACTGCACACTAAATCATTGAGTTAAGTCCATGCGGGTATTTCTATTTTTTTCTAGTTCCATACGTTGGTGTGTGTTTGTGTATAATTTATGTGTTTTATTTTGAATAGGATATATTAGTTTGGTCCAACCAAACACAAGAATATGATTTTTCTATATATAGCTTCATATTTATTCCCATTTTAAATTAAACAGTAGAATTGTATTTTCTATTACTTTGTTATTACATTTCTATTAGAATTCTATTCTATTTTCTTTATTTTTATTCTTTGAATCAAACGCCATGTTTGTATTTTCAAGATGGTACCAACTTTGATCAACTATTGCTATCTTAGTTTAAAAAAAAAAAAAAAAAAAAAAAAAAAAAAAAAAAAAACCTCGATGATCCCTAAATTTTTTCACATAATAAAGTTCAGTCCAAAATGTCTTTACTTTTACCAAATTCAGCCATTTTTTCATGTGAAACCATTTAAAAATCTACTATACTAATAAGAGCCCAAGAGCGTTAGGCCTATAATAGATAGAAAAAATGGCGGTCAAGTTTTTTAATCAAATGAATGGCTCAGATTGATCAGATTTTAATTTTTTTCTTAAGATTTACTAATTCATCCTTAATGAATATGATTATCCGTTAACTTTTCCGTTAAATATTATCTTTTCCGTTAATTTCTATTAGTTCACCGTTAACTTATTTATTGATTTCAATAAGAAAGGTCTTAAGTTCGAAGTTCGAACCCCATCCCAATCAAAGTTGGCATATTTAGTACTCTATTTTACTTTTATTAAATTAAATAATAATTTAGTAGTTACAACAAAAAATAATACATATGCATTTCGATCTTTAATTTAGAATTATGTATCTACAATGTTTTTATTCAAAAAAATTATTCATTATCAATAAATTAAATAAGAGAAATAATTTCATTAGTTATATTGTCTTTATTTTTCTGCAATACAAAAATTCTTTACATTCAAATTCTTCAATTGATTATATTCGCTACATTGTCCCTACAATGTCTTTATTTAAAAAAAATATTCATTATCAATAAATTAATTAAGAGAAATAATTTTATTATATTATATTGTCTTTATTTTTCTCCAATGTAAAAATTCTTTACATTTAAATTCATCAATTGATTATATTCACTACATTGTCTATTATATTTTTTGTGCACTATTTTTTTAATTAAATATCAAAGTTATAATACAAAATAATGTTATATATTTATTTACCAAGTATTTTATTAATACCATGAAAAAATTAAGAAAAATATAATTAATAAAGCCAATCTATTAACTACTTGAGGATTTTTTTTTGACAAAGAGAGTATTCAAATCACACAACAAATTGAAGTGAGAACTATCTCGTAATGTCCTTGTTTGACAATCAGTAGTTAGCGGTTAGCGTTAGCGTTAGCGGATTATATTAGCTGATTTGACCAGTGAATTATATCAACGGTTGGTAAAAAAATATTTGAAAAAATTAGCTTTTTAGATTAACATGTAAAATGACCTAAGAGTATACATATAATAATAATAATAATAATAATAATAACAATAATAATAATAATAATAATAATTGTTTTAAAAAATAAAACATAATAAAAAAATATAATTAAGCCAATCATATTAATGAGGGTGAATCAACGATTTGGTCCCTCACTTATTCGCGACTTGTCAATGTTACCCCTGAATCACGTATTCATCAATTTAGTCCCCGAAAATAAATGTTTTTCGTCAAATAAGTCCCTCGGGCCTTTTTCCGTCATGTCTCAGGCGATACCTCCGATTTGCCCTGGGCATTTTCGTCATTTCACGCATTCTTCTTCATTAACTCTGACCAAACTTCGCCGGAGAAGCTCAAGCTCGCCGGAGGGAGCTTCATCTCTTCCGCCGGCAAACCAAGTCGACGCCGGAAATGCAGTGATGCTCCGTCTCTCTTCTCTCTCGATAAAAGCTGAGCAACAACCAAACAAATCCCTATCTACCTCTGGTCTCTCCCTTCTTCTCTCGGCTAACTCACGTACATGCTTATCTAAAAGAAGTGGAAAGAGTCAAAGAACTTTGTTTCTGGTATTGAATTGAAGCTCATAGTTTTGGCGATAAAGATGAGAACTTTAGCTATCTTGCTGCTATTTTCTGCACTATTTAGGGCATTTGCATCATCTGACGATGCATACCCTTCTGGGTATGGAGACGAACCGGGTATCTGTCTGGGTTCTAGCGGCAAATTACAGCAGAGAGAAGCTTATGAAGGGGAAATCTTTGACATCACGCATCCGTACACTCCTAACACGCCGGTGGGGGATTCTGCTGATGGCGCAGGACAAATTCTGAGTCTTTTGATGAGCATGAAAAATGGGTCTGATTACAACTTGTCGGAGATGAGATTGTGTGTTCATGCTGGCACTCATGTTGATGCGCCGGGGCACATGTACGATAATTACTTTGATCAGGGATTTGATGTTGATACTCTTGACCTTAAAGTTCTCAATGGTATGTATGTACTACTGGAATTCCTTCCATCACTGCTTTGATTGCAGTTTGCTTTGTATTTATTTGGAATGGTTTATTGACAGGCCCTGCATTGGTAGTGGATGTTCCAAGGGACAAGAACATAACTGGTAAACTTTCTCAAGAATTTAATGTCTTAATTTTCTGTCTCCATGGATGTTTAATTTGTTTGAGTAGTATATGAAACAAGATTCTCCAAGCATATTGAACTAATCAAAGTTTCCGGCGTCGACTTAGCTTGGCTTGCCGGCGAAAGAGATGAAGCTCCCTCCGGCAAGCTTGAGCTTCTCCGGCGAAGTTTGGTCAGAGTTAATGAAGAAGAAGGCGTGAAATGACGAAAATGCCCAGGGGAAATCGCAGGTATCGCCTGAGACATAACAGAAAAAAAAAAGGCCTGAGGGACTTATTTGACGAAAAACATTTATTTTCGGGGACTAAATTGATGAATACGTGATTCAGGGGCAATATTGACAAGTCACGAATAAGTGAGGGACCAAATCGTTGATTCACCCTACCTATTAATTACTTGGGGGATTTATTTACAAAAAGAGTATTCAAATTACACAACAAATTGAAGTGGAAAACTACCTCACAAATCACAATGTCCTTGTTTGACAATCAACAATTAGCTCTTCAATATTAGTATATATTTAAAATTTTATGCCCTAATTTTTATTTGCTCTCCCTTATGTCCCGTATTTGGTTTCAACCATACCTATACAATTATTTTATTGACAATTATAATCAATCTTGACTATATTATCTTGCCTTTGTAGCGGGAATCGAACCCGCATCGTTAGCTTGGAAGGCTAGGGGTTATAGTCGACGTCGATTCAGTATTTTGAGCATCTCTAATTCAAAACCGAGCATGAAACTTTGGTTTCATTCGGCTCCTTTATGGAAATGAGTAAATTACGAGATCTATGATCTGAACAAAATTCTTAAAAAATTCTACCCATAACATCTACGTCAGCTTTTGGTCTGAATACAGACAAAACGAAATAGCTTTCTAGATGATCCCTCTAGAATAAGGGTGATTATAACAACAATCTTTCTAGAGTACTTATTTAAAAAAAAAACATTGGGCATTATCCCAATCGCGTAATGCGCGTAAAAAACTAGTATTTTTAATAAAGTTTTGTTAATTCGAAAAAGTCAAAGATCGAGAATTAAAAGTAAAATTGTTATGATAGTGATTTGCAGAAACAAAATTGGAATTAATTATAAGGGAAAATAGTGTCAATTTATATTGTGCACCACGGCGCACATAGCAATGTACGTCAAGGCACAAAACGTGCGTGTTTCATGCTGACGTCATACTGACATCACTCCATCCATCCAAATAGACCAACTCTTATTATGTGTATTCAGTTAAAATTTTATGTGTATTGTGTTATGAGTTTATGTGTATTCAGTTAAGAGTTTATATGTATTATGTTAACCAAACCCATTATGTGTATTCAGTTAAAAGTTTATGTGTATTGTGTTATGAGTTTATGTGTATTATGTATTATGTTAGATTATGTGTATTCTATTATGAGTTTATGTGTATTCTATTATGAGTTTATGTGCATTCGAAACAAGGGAATTTTTTTATAACAACTTAACAAAACGACGTCGCTTTAGGAGGCGTGGGGCGCACTGTGCTATGTGCGCCCTGGTGTACGGTATAACGATTGGAAAATAGTTTAATAGGCCATTGAACCTTACCTAAAAAGTTAATTAGGTCCTTAAACTTTTTAAAGTTGTAATTAAATCTATTAACATCTCATTTTAATATATTAAAGTCCAAAATTAATTAATAACATGCTATTACAAATCACTAAGATTTCAGTCAATATTTCAGCTAACTCCAACAATATTTTCGACAACAAATTGATCGACGACTACAGATAAGTTGCCGATCGATTTTAAATTAACGGATAAGGCAAGTGGGTTGCCGCTTCTGTGACCTATGGGTATCTCTATCTTTTCTCTTCATTAAAAAAAAAATAAAAATAAAAAAATATTATAATGGAAGGGAATATTATACTCAACCACTCTTGGCTTCAAGCTCTCGGAAGGTACTATTTTGAAAGACATAAATCGAGTTATATAAACATTTTTCAGATTCTGAAGAAGAAACCCAACAAATTCACCTAACCTTATATTCCTTCACACCAAATTCTCTCCCTCTCTTGGGAACCCAAAAATCAGTATTACACTCTAACCCATTTCAATATGTTTTATTCCCCTCCTACTCTTCACATTCTTTCCCACCAAAACAATTCACTCATTATAAAATTCAAAAATGCCTCTCACCTTACAAACTTACAATTACCATTATTTATTACTTACCTCCGAATTTAAGAAGAAAAATCATCTATATTACTGAATTCACTACTGGAAATTATGGAATTTCCGACCACCCAAAAATGATCTTAAATCAAGTCGAAAGTCTTGTTCCGGTCACTTTTAGTATCCGGAAAAACTTTTGTTGTTATTTCCGACCACTTTTTGATATCAACTTAATTTAAAATCACTTTCAGATAGTCGGAAATTTCATAATTTTCAGTAGTGATTACTTGTAAATTAGCTGACCTCATTCTATATGTATCTAATAAAAAAAAAACACGTCAAATATCTACTATCTACTATCTACTATACTAATAAAAGCCCAAGAGAGTTAGGCCTATAATGGGTAGAAAAAATGGTGGTCAAATTTTTTAATTAAATGAATGGCTCAGATTGATCAGATTTTATTTTTTCCTTAAGATTTCCTAATTTATCCTTAATGAATATGATTATCCGTTAAATTTTCCGTTAAATATTATCTTTTCCGTTAAATATTATCTTTTCCTTTACCTTCTATTAGTTTACCGTTAACTTACTCATTGATTTCAATAAAATGGTCTTAGGTTCGAACCCATCCCAATCAAAGTTAGCATAATTAGTACTCTATTTTACTCTTATTAAATTATAAATAATAATAATTTAGTAGCTACAACAAAAACTAATACATATGCATTTCTTTAATTTAGAATTATGTGTCTGCAATGTCTTTTTTCAAAAAAAAATTATTCATTATCAATAATTAAATAAGAGAAATTATTTCATTAGTTATATTGTATTTATTTTTCTCCAAAATAAAAATTCTTTACATTCAAATTCATCAATTGATTATATTCGCTACATTGTCTATTATCTTTTTTGTGCACTATTTTTTAATTAAATATCAAAGTTATAACACAAAATAATGCTATATATTTATTTACCAAGTATTTTATTAATACCATGAAAAAATTTAAAAAAATATATAATTTATAAAGCCAATCATATTAACTACTTGAGGGATTTGTTGACAAAGAGAGTATTCAAATCACACAACAAATTGAAGTGAGAACTACCTCACAATGTCCTTGTTTGACAATCAGCAGTTAGCAGTTAGCGTTAAGCGGATTATATTAGCGAATTTGACCAGCGAATTATATCAACGGTTTGTAAAAAGATATTTGAAAAAATTAGCCGTTTAGATTAACATGTAAAATGACATAAGGATTTACATATATTTAATAATAATAATAATAATAATAATAATAATAATGATAATAATAATAATAATAATAATAATAATGATAATAATTGTTTTAAAAAAATAAAAATAAAAATAAAAAATATATAATTAAGCCAATCATATTAACTACTTGGAGGATTTATTGACAAAAAGAGTATTCAAATTACAAAACAAAATTGAAGTGGGAAACTATCTCGCAATGTCCTTATTTGCCAATCAGCAGCTAGCTCTTCAATATTAATATATATTTAATATTTTATGCCCTAATTTTTATTTGGTCTCCCTTCTGTCCCGTATTTAGTTTCAACCATACCTATACAATTATTTTATTGACAATTATAATCAGTCTTAACTATATATATTATCTTGCATTTGTAAACTTAGAATCGCCTATGTAAATACGCAAATTTAACATTCAATTATCTATGCATGAACAATTTCAATATAATCTTGTCTTGATATACTTTAAAGTATTTATTAAAAAAAAAACATTGGACATTATCCTAATCGCGCAATACGCATAAAAAACTAGTTAACTAATAAGGAGTGATATCTCTAACATGTAAAAGTCCCGCACCATTACACATCCATCTAATTGGTAATAAAATTAATCAATTTACAACTGATTAATAATCCTGAAATATTTATAGCAAACTATATGTTTACACCATTTACTCATTTAGAACAAAAATTTACATCGTTTCCAAATTGAGAAATGTACCAATAAATATTATTTTTGTTTGTTTTTTTTTTTTTCTTCTAATTTTTCATTTCTCTCAATATTAAATACAAAAGTAACTTTAACAGGTTAAAAAAGTATAAACGAACAGATACTACCGTGTAATAGAGTCAGTAACTTTAAAAAAAAAAAATGAAAGTAATACTCTTTGGCAAATTATACTGTAGACCATTATTCACACTAATAAATGTTTATATTTAACATACTTAAAATTCATTTTTAATATATTGTAAGTTCATTTGTAGGTAGTATACTAAAATAAACTTTCAAAAAATAACATATATATATATATATATATATATATATATATAATAACATTCAAGATGAGTTTGGTACTTTGGTTCATGTGTTTACACATTAGAAATGTGTTTAGTGGACAATTTTTTAAATCACAAGTTTTGATTACCCCGTCAATTAAAAATGGAGAGCTAATTAACCAGCGGCCCATTGTCTTTGGTGGCAATTTCAAATTTAGTCTCAGACTATTATTTTTGCCATTTAACATCTTAGACTATTATTTTTTGGACACTTTTAGTCATTCTCATGACTTTTCTTATTTTTATCAAGGACATTTTTGTCTTTTCATATTTTTTTTTTGTTATTTTTCCGATTTCAATCTATTTAATTGGTTTAGGACTTTACTAAAAACCGGTTGAAAAATATGATTACTTAAAATCAGAGGTTACCTAAAGTCCTAAATTAATTAAACCAGTTGAAACCAGAAAAATAACGAAAGAAAAATATGAAAAGATAAAAATGTCCTTACTATAATAAAAAAAAAATCATGAGAAGAACTAAAAGTGTCCAAAAAATAATAGTATGAGATGTTAAATGACAAAAACGATAGTCTATGACTAAATTTAGAATTTTCACCAAAGACAAAGGACCTCTGGTGGTATTACCTTTTAAAAATAAGTATCATTCC